TCCCTGCGTGCCCTAGGATAAAGAGGGGATGGGCCTGGGTCTTCCTCTGAATGCCTATCTGGCATGTGCCCTTCCCCAATTTCCTTTCTCAGAGAATCTTCTCATCCATCTCACCCTTGGGGAAAACCCTTGGGCTTGGGAAAAATGCCAGATCTTCAGTACTTTATGGAAGATTAGGAGGGTGAAGTTCTGCTGAACTTCATGGGGAAGGGTCTTCCATATGGTAGGGGCTGCTACTGAAAAAGCATGTTTCCTAGCTCCCCATAAGGATAGGGACTAGGGCAGTGATGGCTAACCTTTTTGTCGTCGCATGCCAAAAGTGCGCGCATGCACACACGTACCTGCACCCATAATGCAATGTGCACACAACACCCCCACCTCCCTGCACATGTGCGTGCAACCCCCATGTACACCGCATGCCTCTGTGCATGCATGCACAACATCCCCCTACTGCGCACCTCTGCACATGCGTGTGCAACCCCCATGTGCACCCCACCCCCTCTACATGGGTGCGCATCTCCCACTCCACCCCCCACGCATGCGTGGCAGATACCCAACAATCAGGTGGCTGGTGGGAGATGCATGTGCATGCGCAGTAAATCTGTTCTGGGCAATGGCTCTCTGAACTACTCAAAATTTCCACTATTGGTATGCCAGAACCGGCTCAAACTGGCTGAATACCACCTTTGGCAAACTCCATTATTGTTTTATAATGGCTGAGCCAGGGTCACCAAATGTCGGTTTTTAGTCCCTGCCTGACATTTCAAAATAGACAGTCTATGTAGGTTTTTTTTATTAATTCATTTTTCTTTTCTTTTATGCCCAATAGATTCCCCCCCCCCCCATACATAACTTCTGTAGCCCACATGATTCTCACCAGATTAAACCTGGACTGAAAAATAACTCTAAATTCTATAGAGTCTTAGTTAATGTTTCACATCCTGTGTTTCCTCCACAAGGATTAGAACTGAGCTGCCTGGTGAAATTAAGACATGTGGAGGGCTCTTACTTTATTTAATGATGATTGAATCTTGTAATCTCTGCATCTACAATCAGGCAATCAGGAAGTCTGTCCCATCGATGATGGCAGCCAGGTTTTCATTATGGGTTGTGTAAAAAGAAAAAGCGGATGAATCCCATCATGCAGACGCCTTAATTTTATTGTCCTAATTAAAGCGCTTTGCTTGTGTAATGAGCAAGATAATACATTTCAAGCAGCATATATAATGAAAAAGAAAGAATAATGAAAAGTTAATTTTCTGTAAATTAAGAGAAAAAAATACCTTGAATTAAAATTAAAAATATAAAGTTTCCTTCCAGGGATTTTGGAGATTAATAACATAGTGATGAATGCAACCCTTGTCCATTAATACTTTGCAGGGGAAACAATATTGTTAAATATATGGTATTTTCTCAACCTGCAAGAATATATTTATTTAGGAGCTGTACTTGTATGTATGTATGTATGTATGTATGTATGTATGTATGTATGTATATATGTGTGTGTGTGTGTGTGTGTGTATGTGTGGTATTCAGCTTTGTTCAGGTATTTTCCCACGTCATTATAGTTGTACTTTTAAAGTTGTAGCAATGTTTCGGCAGAATCTCATCTGCCATCATCAGGCTTCTGTATTGAGTTCGTCTGTGAGTCAGACTTTTACAGTTGTTTCAGTTTTAAATTTGGGGCAGGCTTACTGCTGTGCCAGAATGGTTTTTTCTTCATCCTGATTGGTTGGGAGTCTTGGTCTGTGTTTATTGATTTTGGAGTTTGCTGTGTTCTGCTTGATTGGTGTTTCTAATATCTTCTGTCTGTTTTGTGGCTTTTTTGTCTTGGTTGGCTGGCAACATTGTGTTCCTGTATTGGAGGCTTTTACTGCAGCTTGGCTCTGAGTAAATGGACGCTATCATTTATTAGAAAGCTAGGTTTCATCTGAGTGCCTGGTTGGGGTGTGTTTGAGCTGGAGGTATCAGGCGGGGATCTGTTTGTGCCCAGGTGTTTTCCTGGCTTGTGGTGTGGAGATTTTTTTGTTTGTGAGTGCAGGCTTCCAAATAATTGACAGTCTGGTGGAATCATCTCTTCTATTCATGCTTTCAGGTCTTTTTTCAATCTCTATGGCTTCTCTGATATTTCTGTGGCTGTGGTTTTCTATAGTGGCTAGGGTTTTGGTTCCACTGAAATTGATGCTATGACCTGTGGCTTTCATGTGTTGGACTAGTGAGGAAGTGTGTTCCAGCTTTTTTACTGCATTTTTGTGTTCATCCAGGTGGGTACTTATTCTTCTATTGGTCTGTCCAATGTATGTGGCAGGGCATGATGCACAGGGGACTTCGTATATGCCTTGGTTTTCTAGGTCAATTTTATCTTTGGGGTTTCTTAGGATGGCTGCTATTTTTCTGTCTGTTTTGAAGGCAGTCTTGATGTGATGCCTGTGTAGTATCTTACTGATTTTGTCTGTAGTACCTCTTATGTAGGGCAGGACAGCTGTTCCATAGGTCTGTTCATCTTCTAGGTCTCCATTATGTCTCAGTGTGTTTTTGTGGATCAAGCCGGTGATTTTGCTTTTGTGGAAGCCATTAGCTGTCAGAACTTTAGTCAGGGCACATAGTTCAGTCTTTATGTGTGTCTTGTCTGCTAGGCGTTTGGTTCTGGCAATTAGTGTTTTGGCCACGGAGTTTATCTGTGCTTGGTGGTGGTGGGATTGGGCATTGAGGCAGCGGTTTTATCTATATCTATATCTATATCTATATCTATATCTATATCTATATCTATATCTATATCTATATCTACATCTACATCTACATCTACATCTACATCTACATATCTATCTATCTATCTATCTATCTATCTATCTATCTATCTATCTATCTATCTATCTATCTGCAAACATCCATAGTGAAATGTCTTCAACTGCATACAGGTAGTCTTCAATGTACAACCACAATTGAGTCCAAAATTTTCTGTTGCTAAATGAAACATTTGATAAAGGAGTTTTGCCCCCTTTTATGACTTTTCTTGTCACCATTGTTAAGGGAATCCTTGCAGTTGGTAAACTAGTAACACGGTTGTTAAGTGAAACTGGTTTCCCTGTTCATTTGGCTAGTCAGGTTTCAAAAGGTGATCACATGACCTTGGGGCACTGTAACCGTTGTAAATATGAGTCAGTTGCTGATATTGGAGTTTTGATCATGTGACCATGGGGGAATGCTGCAATGGTTGTAAATGTGAAAAACTTTCATGAGTCACTTTTTTTCAGTGATGTTGTAACTTTGAACGGTCACTAAATGAACTGTTGTAAGTCGAGGACTACCTATATTTACTATTTCCTTCCTCCAGCTGTTTTCATCTCCCAGTTTCACCCTAATCCCTGGAATTCCCCAGAGGTTTCTCATCCATATAGTAATTAGATCTGACGTGGCTTAGTTGTTGAAGACTAGCACATATTGGTCAGGTTTTATTCCCTGCTGAAAGATGATTATTGCAGTCAGCCAGCAGTCAGCAGAAGTAGTACTTCATTCTAACCTCTGTGCCACCATAGCTCTCCCAGATAGTCACTTAACGACTGTTTGAAATTACGGCTGACTCCCCAGGGGTACTTATGACCCAGTTCCAAAATTCCAATGTCTGTCCACCCATCCTCCTGGTCATATGACCACATTTTAGGTAGCTGACAATCAGCCTACATTTGCAGCCGTTTGCAGCATCCTGCAGTCACATGAGTATATTTTAAGACATTTTTTATTAAAATTTAACCTGTTTTGGCCAGAACCAGCCAATAGCGAACCATTGGTTCACGTAATGATTGCAGCATTTGCTTAACAATGGCATTAGTAGATTTTTAACCACGGTGTTTGCTTAATGATCCCCACAAAACAGGTCATAAAATTGGGTCAGTCACATGGTTGAGCTGCTTTACAACTGTCATGATTTATGACTGTGATGGGCAGGGTCCACTATGGTCATAAATCAAGGATTACCTTCATTGCAGTGTTCTTTTCCAGCCAGTCAAAGAACCATGTCTTTTCCAAGGTATTCCATGTCACTTCCATTCCACCATCCTAGTATTTTCACTTTCTTTTAACAGGCAATCCATTTTCCTTGGCCACTGAGCATGTCAAAAAATATTGGTTGCTGTTTGTGTTAGAAATAAATGTTTACCAAGTTTGTTTCTGAGCTGAAATAAAGAATGAAGACAGTGGCTTGAAAGTGAGTTGAATCTTTATTTCCAAGATTACAGCATACTGAATCAGCTGTTGGAGGTGGCTGCCCAGAGAACTTCCCCAAGAGCTCTTTATACAGAGAAAGACATGTGCAAAAGTGTGCCCACCCCATAGGAATTCCAGGAAAGTGAACTTAACCGTGTTTCCTGGAGGAGCGCTCTGGAGTCAGGCAACCTACTTGGTTGTAGTTTCTGCTTATTTAGCATTGCAGTTGGAAGTGGCAATCTCTTTTGAGAAAGGATCTTTTGTTATTCAATTAAGAAGATCTCTGTTCACCAGGATAGGCTGGTGGTTTCCTCCACATTATAATCTTTGTGTTGAATCCACTGAAATTTCACACCTTGTGTCCCAGTTGTAATGTTTAACCTTTTGTACTGATAAGCAGCAAGAAGTCTGTACAGGTAGCTCTTGACTTACAATCACAATTGGGACTGAAATTTTAGTTACTGAGTAATATGGTCATAAAGGCAGGTATGACGTGATCCGATTGCTCAGCGAATGCAACCCTGGCACTTCCAGCTGCTGTTATTAATTGAAAATTTCAAGTTGTTAAGCGGAAGGAGTCCCAAGTAAGGAGCGTGCCATTCTTTCTCCAACTAGTGTGATTATTGCCATTTCAATAAATTTCCTTCTCCAGATCATCATGCTGTTTGGAGAAGGAATGGTGCACGCAATTTGGAGGATGAGGTCTTCCAAAACAGTGTGAGAACAGGGCTCCTGACATTTCTCCAAATAGTGTGCCCTATTTGGAGATCTGAAATAAGCCAGAAGGTTTCTGACGAATGGGGAGCATGACTTGGGGTAAGTGGCTTCAAAACGTCGCAAGGTAGCAAGGTAGCACAATCTTGGGAGCTCCAAGCTCAAAGAAATAGTTTATGACTTCGATTGAAAGGGATTTGGATCATAGTGAATAGACCAGTGATGGGAACATATTTATTTGCTTATTTCATTTCTGTAGGGACCAGTGGTGGATTAAAGCTCACCAGTGCCCTAAGCCCTGACAAATATTGGTGCCTCCCCACTTTGTACATACTGTAACAAACGAAGCCAAGCTTAGGCTACTACGTTTTTATGGTGCCCCCTTTGGACCTGGTGCCCTAAGCATGTGCTTAGTCTACTTATTGGTTAATACACCACTGGTAGGCTCAGAAACATACTAGGTTGAGTACATCATAAAAACCCAATTAAAACAGTATGAAATAAATATATATGGCACTAAGTAAACTTTACTATTGGTGTTAATACAACAAGGAAACATACTTGGGCTCTTGTCACACTCAGGGGCCCAGTCCTGGTCACACATAGAAGATGTCACCCTACTATGAACCTTACCAGTTAGATCAGACAGAAACAAAACCAAATGAACTAATTCTATTTTATTGTAAGGCTACGTTAATAGAACCTTGCAAGTCTGAAAGAGCAATTCTCCCTCTGTCTCCTTTATAGCCTGAGAAACTCAGGAGGGTCTCACTGAGCCTCTTTGCCCTTCCCACTGTACTGCTGCAGGCTATGTTGCCTCTTATTTGATTGTTCTCTAGACACTGTTTCTTGACACATTGCCCTAAGGCAGTGATGGCTAACCCTTTCCATGTTGTGTGCCGAAAATGTACGTGTGCGCTCATGCACACACCTGCGTGCCTGCACCCATGATGCAATGTGCATGCAACCCCCACCCCCTGCGCATGTGTGCACGACCTTCTGTGCATGCATGCCCCCCACACCATGCACCTCTGTGCATGCGTGAGCAACCCCCTGCATGTCCTGCCCTCCACACATACACGGCAGATACCTGACAATCAGCTGGCTGGTGGGGGGCACACACACACATGCGCAGTGGGGCTCTTCTGGGTGACCTCTCGCATGCCGGTAAAAATAGTTGTGTATGCCATTTCCAGGACGTGTTCCATAGATTCACTATCACGGCCCTAAGGTTTTTCCAACATGCCATTGTATCTATTGCGCCCAGATAGGCAACTTTGAAAAGATGTCCAAATATCTACTGACAACAGATCTATTAAATCTTGGCACTAAATTCTATCTATTCTGCCTCTGGCACTAAATATTTATTTTTGTTCCTTAGTGGCAAAGTGGTTTCATTTGGTCCATTAATCTGAATCATATAGCAACAACAACAAATAGGCAAAATAGCAGCAAAAACAAGACTCAAAATGTTTGTACATATCCCCCACCCAGTCATCCTATCTCAAACTCTTTTCTGCTATCAGCCCTATGAGGTAGTCCACACTAGGAAACCAAAGGTCTGGATGCTAATGCTACTTGTATTATAAGGTTATAAAAGTAACAGAATCTTGCAAATCTGGATGTTCCTCTCTTTCTGTTGCCTTTACATGTGAAAGAACTGGGGAGGGTCAAATCAGAGGCGCGTTTTCAAATTATGTTTCTGCTTTGGACTCAGATTTCTTTTCCCATTGTCTTCATTGCAGCTCCTCTTCCGATTCCTCAGTTATTCTCACAATCCATTACAACTAATGACTTTTCCTTTTGCTTGTCTTTACAGCCCCACCCACGGTGAGGATTATCCATTCGGGCCTCGCCTGTAACATTGAGGAGGAGCGGTATTCGGAAAGAGTGTACACCATTCGTGAAGGGGAGACCCTGGAGCTGATGTGTTTGGTTACAGGCCATCCCCGGCCACAGGTGAGCCCCCTGCTTTGATGGTTTGCACGGTCTATCCACCATGATTTTCTCTTCCATGAGTTTTTGTTATCTACCTTGTGTTGCTACCTCAGAAAATAATAGAGAGTTGGCTACAGAGAGCTATCGTATGTCTACCCAGGATCATGATCGCAAGATTTTTCTTGGCTGTTTTGAAATATACATGGTAATATTAATGTAGTAGTTAAAGTGTACCTTGATTTTACAAAGAATCATTTGTGCAGAGGGGATCCAAATATTTTGAGGTAGAGATTCTGAATTCCACCATTCAAAACCAAGTAAGGGAAACAGGGAGCAACAATGAAATTTTCTTAGAAGGGGAGTGAAAAAAGTTATGGTTTAATTGCTTGTTTGGTGCTTATTTTTGTTGACCAGAGAGTAAGTGTTTCTGAATGCTCGTTTCATTTAAAACTGTAAACAGTAGCCGTAAATGGTCAGCATTAAAGAGCAACTAAATGAAAATGGGTGAATTGTGACCACAATGCCTGAAAGCAAGAAACTCTTAAGTAAAGATAATTGTGCTTATTTTAACTTTCCTTTTTTTTGTCTCAGTTCTGCATTTTTAGAGGTTTTCATGCACAAAAATTGCACTGAATAATGATGTTTTGGCAGACAACTTTGCCTTTTGTTCAGTATTGCCTTAACACACACAATATTGTGCACATTTTAAAAATAGAGTTTTTATTAGAGTATTACCTTAGGATAGTGGAAGAAGTGCAGAAATATGTTGCATCAATGAATCAATGAACTAAGTTTATGTATTAGTTTTGGAAATGCTAACTACATTAGTTTACATTTAAAAGCTAACAGAAAACACAACAAACATGAAGGGATTTATATTGCACACTCATTGTTATTGATATATTTCTTAGTTTATTAAGATTGCTATCCCACTTGTCATTCAAGAATTCATGGTGGCATTCATGTCCATTACCTTTTCAATCTTACTTCAGAGATTTAAGAGGGTAATCACAGCAGAACCATCCACTGAAAAGATTGAACATGTTTTATTAGAGATAGTCTTTGCTTTATCATTGGGATCAGAATTTCTGTTACTGAGTGAGTTTTTTTTAAATGAGTTGTGTCTGATTTTACAAGCTTTTTTTACCATGGTTGTTAAGTGAATCACTGTAGTTATTAAACAAATCATGCCTTCATTAAACAAATCATGCCTTCATTAAACAAATCATGCCTTCATTAAACAAATCTGGCTTCCATCATTGATTTTGCTTGTCAGAAGATGGCTGGGAAGATTACAAATGGTGATTATGTGACACTACCATACTTCTTGACCGAGTGAAACCTGACATGTTGCCATGGTTGGGGGCGAATGTTCCAGTCCTGGCGATCCCGGGGTGGGCCAGTTTCGATGAGGATTGACAATTCCAGGCACAGCACCCCTCTCCTTTTCGGTGCAACCAGCTGGGTGGAGCACTGATCCTACCTTCAGACTGGTTTATCGGCTGTTTGGCGTTTCACGTTTTGAGCTTAGCGGTTTTTGGCTCCGTTGGACTGGGGCTGGCAGTACTGACTACAGGGTGGGACAGCACCTGGGGAGGTGTTGTTTGGGAAACTGCACAGTAGTTAGGATTAACAATGGTTAGTATCGTGGGGTGGCGGTGCGCAGGGTTAATGCTGGGGCGGATGTTAGGTGTTTGCTAGGGGCGGATGTTAGGTGCTTATTGGGGGTAAAAAGGGATTATAAAAGGCACTGAGAAGCAGACGCTCTCAGCGCTGCTTTACTTGGGATTGCTGTTTGTTGCGGTTGTTGGAAGAAACAGATCATAATAAACGCATCTTGCCACAACAGAACTGTGAGTAAAGTAGTTTATTGTTAAAGTTTCATTGAATTCCCATGGAAGCTGACACTAGGACACTGCAACCATCAAAAAAAATATACTGATTGCCATTTGCTAAAATTTGGATCATGTGATTATGGCAATCATGCAGTGGTCATAACTATGAGGACCAGTCATAAGTAATTTTTGTTAGTACCATTGTAATATTGAAGAGTTGCTGAATGTATGGTTATAAATCAAGAACTACCTGTATGCCTTAAATGTTTGTATTACTGGGAATGTTCCACCTGAAGCTGATTTAAAGAACAAACTTTGAATAAGTTTTTGCCTTTATGTCATATTAAATATGTGATCAAGTCAACGTATTGGATAGCCTGGTCATTCTATCTTATGAGTGCTGGTTGCAAACTTTAAAAAAAAAGCTAAGTCATAGATTTCATTCTATGGTTTTAGAAGCAAAAGTTTCAATCTGGTTTAAAGGTAGACAGTTGAGAATATAAATTCAGTCCAATATTGTAGATTGTCTTTTTCACTGTCCTGCTCATGGTTTACACCAGGTGTTGGCAACCTTAAACACTCAATGAGCCATTTGGACCTGTTTCCCACAGAAAAGAAAACACCGGCAGCCACAAAAACTTTCCCGTGCCTGACTATTTCCTGAGTGGCCACAAAACTAGTATATGTAGTTGAATTAAATGTTCTGTTTTCTTCTGAAACTTTTCATTTCTTGGATTTATCCATGGTTGGCCTACTAGGGGTTAAAAAGCTCAATAAATCACATGGTAGTGGGTGTCTCCCATTGGTGGTTGGGATGCATATTTTGAGTGATGGAGCCATAGCAGAGGGATGAAAGAGCCACATGTAGCTTCGGAGCCTCAGGTTGCTGACCCCTGGTTTACACTGATCCTGATCATTTGCCTGTTTTTAATTTCTGGTGGCAATTGGAAAGGACTGGCTGTCCATTAAAGTGGAACTAATTATCAAAACTCTCAGTTTGTTGCTGATGTCCACAGCCAGTCTTAATCATGCTGCTGCACATTTTGTACATCCTATCAGGCTAGATATAGAGAAAAGAAAACTCGGTACCCAGTTCAGAATTTGCTGCCTGAACCTATTTCTTTCCATCTACTATAAATGAAATGGGAATGAGATACACATTCAGAGCTAACAGGAGGTGAGGAACTAAGTCTCTTGATACTTCAGGCTGACTCACTAGTCTTGACCTGAGCTAGCTCAGGCCATTGCAAAGTAGCCAGGCCACTCACATTCAATTGTAAGCAAGGTCAGAGACTGACTGGCAATCCAACATCTCTTTTGATAATAGACAAAGGCATCGAATAGAAATGGAATCCAAGGGGAATTCCAGAAGCACTCCAGGGGTCAAGTGACTGAGGTCCCAGAAAGCTATTTAGAGCCCATGGCCAATGCATAATTACTGTTTCAGCACTGAAATCAACAATGACTACTTTTCTTTTATAATGAAAACCCTAGGCTGACTAATCATGAAACTAAAGCTCTTATAAAACCAAGTCCCAGCTGCCAAGTCTCAACTGCCTAGGCATCTCAGAAGAATTTTTAACTTGATCTTAGTTCAAAGGCCAACAAACCTTTATTTACTCATTGGAAGATTTGGTCCATTATAGCTTATTACATAAATTATATAACTATATCTTATTGTGCATAAGCTAGAATGCAGCTTTTATCCCTTCTCATCCAATCTCTTGTTCAGGGCAGAAATCTATTCAACTCTCCCTGTAGAACCATCAAATGAATGAGTTGGTTGAAATTTATATTCCCTGCACTCTTTGAGGTTCATCCTTGCTTTAGAAAGTCCATATTGCTTTCCTCCTTGACAAAACAGCACACCATTCTGTCATCTGCAGCTTCATATTTTGAGTATGGATTTAGTATTTTTCTGGAATATTGCCAAACTCAGCAGAGGATTGTAGTTTGTCTGGAACAGTGCTAAGTCCACGTCCATCTCCTTCTGAAATGTGTTAAATCCTTGTCCATAAGGAGCCCAACTATCCAGAAATATCATCTGACAGTCAGGATTTTATTGAACAGAGCCACACAAAATACTTGCACAAAAACAGTTTGAGTGGAACAATAAATTGTCTGGTTTAGTTGTCCCAAAGGTGCTTTTTCAGGAAGCAACTTTTTTTTCTTGTTTTTTTTCCAACAAATTGTAGACTACAGGAACCAGGAGCACTATTCAGGTGATCTTGAGGACACAGATAAACCTCCAAGTGCTTCAACCGCCCTCTGAAAGGATGCAAATGACTAGCTGTCAGCAAGCAATATAAATCCTTCCATTTCCCACTACCCTGTTAGAGCTGAAGAAGCTTCTTGGATGAGAAGTGAAACATCTTCAAAAGAAAAAACAAAACAAAACAGAAAGTCCACTGGCCTCCTGCAAAAGCACCTTTGGAACAACCATGATCTGGATGACTGGGAATCTCCACAGACTTTTAGCTGGTTTAGTTGTGTCAAAATTGATCTCCTGATCAGATCTAGTCCTTTTCAATAACAGTGCTTAGGAGATATTCACTTATTGGCTGGTGAAAATTGATGCTGATGCTTCTTGGAATCAATTAGAGCAGAAATGTAACAGAGAATACTAAACAGGGAAGCTTGGATGGAAATTGGTCATAAAAAAAGCGAAGAGGAGTTAAGTCTGAGATTTTGGGGGAAATTCAGTTTGTTACTTCTACCTACTTCTGTGTATTGATGTGTGTATAGAGTCTATGTATAAGGTAGTCCTCAACTTACAACAGTTCATTTAGTGTTGTGGTTAGCCAGCAGCAGGTGCGGGTGGCTGAGGAGAGTGAGGACTCAGATGAAGGGTCAGGACCATTAGGGAGTGGACTGCTGCCTTCAGAGATTGTGGGGGTTGGCAGCAGCGATAAGGAGGTTCCCGAGGAGCCCGTGCCAAGTGCGCAAGCATGCTGGATTGCTCACAGGAAAGAACAGCTAGAACAGCACGGGCAACTCGGGAGTAAGGTTGCAAGGTAATGGCCCCTTCTTCAAGAAGATAAAAGCCAGCTGTGAAACTAACCTTCTTTGCAGAAGGCAAAGTCATTTTGAAACTCCAGCCTCATGGACATTGCAGTATCTTAAGCTGGTATTTGAAGACTCTTGTGTTGTGAAATATTTCTTATTTGTGATTCTTGGCAAGCCTCG